ATATTGTGGAAATCCTGAAATGAGTAAAAAAACAATAATAAAGTAATCACCACAACTGAGAAATTCTAAACTGTTACATTAAATGGCGTAAGGATAGATAGATAGATATCAGAAAGCTCCTCCGTCACGAATAACGAAAGACCTCATTTTAGAATCGGCAGCCCATTCTGACCCAACTGTCCTAGCTGTTAGCAGTATTAACATTAAATCACATAGTTCTGGATCGGATTAGCCAAGAACAATCAACAAAGCCGTGTCGAATCTCTGACCCAAACTCGGCCAGCTCCCGCTTTAGATTTACGAAATCGAAATATTCAACCACCTTTCGCAACTTCGTACAGAAGACCATCAGACTTACCAGGATCAGTCATTGAGGTTTGTAAACCTTGTCATCATTTATGTCAAATGAGCATGCAGCGGTTCATGAATTTAAACAATGGGAAAATTAATCTAATCAAATAAGCTAAGAAGGCAATTATCGTACACCGTAATGAAAAAAATTGCAACAAATTTAGATCAACAATAGTGAGTAAGAAGCTACTAAGTAATAAGGTTAACTTCGAAGTAAAATCGATCAAAATTGACGACCCTTCCTTTTTCCGACACCTAGTTATGAAGTCTTTCAAAAAAATAATAAATAAGCCTTTCCATAACCACTGGAGCCAGAATGAAGGAGGAGAGGGACTCAAGTTAGAGAAAGTGTGAATCATATCATCGGTGATGTCTGATCGAGATCACAGTCAAAACCCACAGTTCACTTACTCGGGAAGGTTAATGGGCTCTTTGGTCTTTGGATCAACAATAATCATAGGCGTGGGCCTAAAATTGTAAAACAAATACAACTAGCAAGGGCCTACCACACAATAGATTCAAAGCTCTTAAAGATTAGTCAAATAATCAGTGAGAAGCCTGTGCATACTACTAAAACATACTTCAATCAATTTCAGTAGCATACTTACTGCCGTGGTAGCACCTGCGAATTTCCATTCTCCCTTCAATTAACGAGAAAGAAGAACCTTATTGTTTTGCTTTTCCTTATCATATTATTTAACTGCAATTTCTATTTATCCTCTTAGTACTTACTTCGGCAAACTTGTTTGCTTTGAGCTTCCCCTAAATGGAAAAGAAGGTACAGGTGAAAGTTTCCTACAAACTAATAAAAAAGGCTAAGCCAGATTAAAAAATTTACGGTAGATTAATCCGCTCGTTGGTACTGGGATCCCTAATTTCCAGTGTCGTGCGCCTTAAAGGAGTAAATAAGATCAGAACCCTGGAAGCGCATCAGTATAAAATTAAGACTCATTAAATGCCAAAAAATGACTGAATTAGGGTACTCGAGAGCCTACATCTTCTTCTTAAATTAATATATCAAGGAATGAGTAATGAGGATAATAAATATCAGGCCACTCGATTGAAAAAAAAAACATGCGAACCAATGTAAATATAGCCTTAGAGCCTAATCACGACCATTATGATTGCAGTAAATTTAAATTTGATTGGATAGTGTTTTAGCATTAGTCACAATCCCATGCGATATCGTGGTGGGAACTATTTTAAAAAAAACAAAGCAAAAAGCAACTTACCTCCCATTTCCAACACCATTTGTAGGCAATATTTCTCCTATTCTAGTTTACAGTTAAGCATTTATTTGGAGTTAACTTATTGCTCTGATTTTATGCACGTGGAAAGTACAACAGAGTTAATAAATCGACTTACTGCTGCTGCTGCTCTGTGTAGTAGCCGAAACTGACAAAAAAAGTAGAAAGACAGAGAATAACGAAGGCATCCTCAAACGTGAAAATTTAATTTTAAGTGGAAGAAATGAGTAGAGTAGATCTCTAGTTACAAAATAAGCGGATACTGAAAAAAATAATGAAGGGATTGCTCACGTGGGTGTAGGTGGTGCACCCCTGGTTATTCCATTCCAATTTTCCCTAAATTGAGAAGAAATTTAATCTACCTCAAATAACTTAAATAAAAGTCTTATTTTTCGGAAATCGTTTAAATAAAATGCACTAGGGTGTTGCAAAAGTAGGACATACAGCTGGATTATTGAAAAAAAGCAGCTCTGAAAAACTGATGTTATATATGTGATTCTGGTAACAACTACATCCTCTTAACTTCATACTGAAATACATGAGTTCCTTTATATTGATAGACTAATAGACTCCTAAGCAGTCCTCCAAAAAAGTAAAGATTGGGAAAAAAAGATTATCTATTTTAGCCAATAATTGCAGTAGCTAACGCCTGCCTGAAGATAAATGACGATATGTGCTGGAGAAACTGGGTTTTACTGGATTTTATTTGATACAAAAAGGGTCTAAGGGGTTTAATTCCCCCCCCCCCCCAAACCACAATCCCCAAAAACCTATCAAATGCTTACCTAGCCCCCGCTACTGGCTCTGGTGCATCTGGTGACATTTCGAAAAGTGGACTACAAAAACGAAAAAAAAGAAAGAAAGAAAAATAGAGAGGATTTGGGATCCGGTTAGGATCGTGTAAGATGCTTTTGGTTAAGAAATAATCAAAACAAAAGGGATAATCATGGATGTTTTAATATAGAATGCAGATTGTTCATTCCATATTGTGCAACCAAATTCCAAAAATGATCAAATCAAATAGAGTTCTCTCAGAGACTTTGGTTTTGCTTTCAAAATCTTATAGAGCCCACTCATTCCTCGTGCCACTACTTTTATTCAATACGCGCCATGGTCAAAGTTAAACCTTGGGTCTCGATTTTGGGAAAGGGCTGCTATACATATATCCTATTAGGCTTGAAAAATATTATTAAAACTGCAAATAAAAAGGTATCTACGCCTTGGCAGAAACCGGAAGAAGCTTTACTGTCGAGATTAGCTCAACTTTACAAACTAGGGGTGTGCGATAGACTTACCCCCACGTGGTGCACCCTGAGCAACGTATACTCATACGCCAAAAAGTCTATTAATCGGGAGTTGACATATGGCTTCTAGCTACCATGACCCCACTGTATGTCATATTCGACTACTTCCACAGTACTCACCTCACCTTTCATCTACCTTTGTGTCTGTCTCTTTTACATCTTTGAAACACTCTTCTGTTCCCCCCCCCCCCATCTCGAATTTTTTTCACTTTGATGTTTCTTCTCCTCTGTGAGGCCAGAAGTCACCTAAAGGGCTAATGCAACTATCAAAATGCATGCCATTTGATATAAATAAATACTTTACAAACTACAAGTCCTATAATAATAATAATAGTAATAATAATAAGTTACTAGATCAATTAGCAGATTAAAAAGAAAAAGATAACTGTGATAACAAAAAAATAATGGTAGGTCAGGACGTGCAAAATCCCAAAGAAAAAATAAGACGAAACTCAGGACTGATGAGTTTGCATCTACATATGATCATAGTCACTATTGTTTTATTATATATGTGTGTATGAAAGTAGGAAAATATCAACGCCATATAGCATGCCCTACTTATGAAACAATTAATTCTATCATTAATAAGTTTGTATCTGGGGTGTGTGATAGACTTACCTCCACGTGGTGCAGCCTGAGCAACGTATACTCATACGGCAAAAAAGTCTATTAACCGGCAGTTGACTTCTGACTTCAAACTGCCATGGCCCGACTGCTTGTCATATTCGCCCAATTTCACAGTACTCACCCTACCTTTTTCTCTACCTTTGTGTCTGCCTGCCTCTTTTACATCTGTAAATCGATCTTCTGTTCCCCACCCCTTGCCTTTCTTCTACTTTGATGAACCTTCCCTCTGTGAAGCCCGAAGTCAGCTAAATGGCTAATGATAGCTATCAAAACGCCTGCCATTTGAAATAAATAAATAAATATAAATAAATAAATAGTTCGCATCTTTCACAAATAGCACCGCGAAGACTAAAGGCAATAAAAAAAGAGACACAATGACATCTAACTAAAAGGCTTACTTACTTTAGTCCACTCTCCGTCGCTGGCGCTTCATTTGATTTGAAACTAAAATTTACAAAAAAATAAACAGATTTCTACGTTAAATGTCAAGATCAAAACGATAACAGCAGATCAGATAGCCAACTTTCAACATTCACACAACATCACTACCACTGCACTACACTAACTCGTTTGCACTAACAATCAACTCAACTCAAACACAGTGCTCATACCTCTCAAGATCGATTGGTCGATTTGTTGCAGGATCGAGGATCTCCAAAGGTCTCGCCCTTTTTTTATTAGAGATAAGAAAGGATGAAATGAAACATTTATTATAATATTAAGAACACAAAAATAATGATAGCTACGAATACACAGAGAGCGAAAACTAGAGATTGCTAGAGCTAATTGAAACTAGCTAATCTAACTCACGTTATGTGTCTGAGTGTTAATCTGAAGTCATTGAACAAATTAATATAAATGAGCAAACGCAATCCTGAAAAGGAGGGGTGTAGGTGCGAGCCAATGGCGTATCAATCAAAACACACTTCTGACAAGTCCGAGGAGATGAATTCAGAGTAATACCCAATACCCAATAATAAAAAATACGCTTCCAGATCCAACCGCCTTATGACCGACGACTGTCGAATACGCTTTTCTCCAACGCACTTTGGACTTATAAAGACAAGTGTTCAAAAAAATCAAAAGGCCTTGGATGCAAGCCTTGTAAACGTTATAAAAAGAAATCTCCCAATTGAAATTTCATGATAATAAAAAAACGACACGATGTCTACCGAAAAACGCCATGGTACGAGTTTCATTTATCATTCAAGGCAAACCGACTGAAAAAAACAACTAGTCTTCGCACAAGTAGCATAAACAGGAGGTTGAATACTGATGCTTTTCAGTAATCATAATCATAACAATTTAAAGAATATTATAATAGTCGAGCAGCTAATCATTTATCGAGAAAGTAAACTATCATTAATTTGTACTTAGCCGTTACTAAGTACATCATATGATAGACAGGGGAACAAAAGAAAAATCGAAAGTGGAAAAGTACGACAAAATAAGATAAACACTTTCAACTCACCGATCATTCATCACTCGAGAAAGCTAAAATAGAGCAAAACATTGAAAATCAATCCCATATTCACTATGATTAAGCCTCAAACGACCGTGATAGGAGAAGTGTTCAAGTAAAGCGCCAACTTACAATATCACGACCAATACTTCGTAGATTATCGTGAAGTACCGTGAGAAAGTTGTCGATAGTTTTTTTACTCAATTCAGAACCTTTTCTATGAAGATGATTTAATATTTTCAAGCCCAGTTCAACAGTATCCAATAGATGTGTAATAATTTCGACCAGGTTCGCCTTGCATTTATCAGTTAGTACGTTAATTGGCGGTGTCAAAGTTGGCCAATGAGATAATTTCTAGCAAAAAACAGAGTTAGGTGCAAAGAGGACATACAGCTGGATTTTTTTCCAAGGATTCAAAGAACGTCAAGAAAGAGGACAAAGGTAAATCATTAATGGGAAGACTGCGAAGAGCATTCAGACTAATAAGACAGTCTTTGGCATAAATTAAATAAACCGAACAGATATTTTTCAAGACAGAGAATAAGTCTTCTAACTGAGAAACTGGAGGGTTGAGCAAATCATTTTGAGTAAACTCTTCGTTTAATTCAACAAATCTGCGATGGTACTCCGTTGGAGGCTGGAAAACAAAAACAAACTAAAGTAGTAATAACAAATTGCTATACAGATTCGATAAAAAATAAAAAATACTTCTCCTTCATCAAAAATTTCAAATTCTGAATCACACTTTGTACTTGTCGCAGAAGAATTCAACCTCGAGAGAAAATGGCTAATTTTCTCAGTTAGTTCATCATCTGACTGAAGAATTGATACACTTCCAAGAATTTTGCACGAAGGACAAATTATAAATTGCTTAGTTTCATCATGTTTCATACATTTCTTGCAGAATGAATGGCCACAACCTATTGTCATCGGGTTATTAGGCCTTCAGCAACAGAAAAAAACGTTTCAAATAACCTCTTACGATTGAAAAAATAAAAGACAGACAAAATGTAAATTTGACGGCTTTTAAATTTAACACGAAACGCAAAAAATATCGACATGTGCAAAATAACCATCATTTGGAAAGAACGCATTTATTAAAATGCACGTATAAACTTACAAAGAATTGCATGCATCACAAGAAGGAGGCGTCGAAAGTGAAGCACCCCTTGCCGAATCCATTTGCGAAGGTAACAGAACCCAGCGACTGTAGCAAAGTTGATTTGGATTTTGGTCAAGGTCAAAATTAAAATCGTACATAAATTTTCACTAAAAAATTAGTGCGATGAATTATTTATCTTTTTACCACTTTTAAGACACGTTTTAAACCCATTTAATTGTCATATTTGAAAAAAAAATAATTAATAATATCTTTCAACAATTTAAATCAAGGTTAAACTAATTATACTAAACTACTAATTAATTGATATGTAATTGTTCTTAATTAACTTGATTAAATATATTCATTTCGTGCGAATGATAATAATAATGAAGTGATTATACTATCTATATCTATACCACCAACCATTATTGATTTAAGCGAATATGGAAAAAGTGTAACTTTGTGTATTTCAAAACGTATAAATATAAGAATTTATGACAAACTTACTATTCTTATTGTTGGTGCTAGAATGTTACAACAACTGCGAATGCGTGCATAATAATGTAAGGAGTTTTTTACAGATTTTGAAAAAAATATATTTTTGGATAGATAAATTGAAAATATAAATACTGAACTCTTCGGATCAATGGATTCATGGATAAATAAAAGTCATTCAATATCCATCTCAATCTAGATAAGGTCAATAAATGACAAATGTGACATTTGACACAGTGTGCTTTAAATTCTATAAAATTCAACTATTCTACTCAAAAAGACCTCATGCGATAATTCTTTGAAGGTAAGTTTGTTTTGTCTGAATCTGTTTAACAAGCTTAATCCTTAATTTGGCTTCATTAGATGTCGATCTTGAAAGTAACTGTTATAAAATGAGAGAATCTTACTCCTTAGAAAACCTTAAAGATACCTATTCCTCTGAATAAATAAATGCAAGAAACACTTATCTAAAATATTAACTTTCGTCATGGAATACTTTTAAAATTTACAAATATTCTTGGATAATTCTTTGATACTGGCAAAGGACACTATTTTGTTATCGTCTACATTTATCACTCGTAAACGCTTTTAATTTGCTATCATTTGTGAAAAAAATGGATGTTATTTTGTTATTATAAATTACCAAAAACAGTTAAAAACAAAATACACGTGATGACTACGTCAATAGTTATAAATAGTTATGAGAAGAAAAAATAACGAGCATCAACGTAAGTCTTCAAAATGATCAATAAATATAAATTGTTATGATCAAATAACTTTCATCAGTTCTAATTAATTTTCAAGTAAATATCGATTAAGGTTTTCTGATTTTGCCTGAAAAATTATTTTATCAACTTCCTTTTTTATAGGGTATTAATTCAATGTTCTAGTGTGCACTTTAAGTTGCAAGCGGCGATTTGAACCTTCCCTCTTTGGCTATTCGACGGGCATGTCAGATTACGAATCGGACGAGGAGCCTACGGTCGCTGATGAAACCGTCTTAAATAAGTATAAGCTTTCTGGCGAAATTTGCCATAGTATGTTCGTTTTGCTTAATTTAATTCTTTAAGTTGTTCTGAAGGAACTCATGCAAAAATGTGTTCCTGGTGCCAATATTATTGAGCTCTGCGAACATGGTGACAAGCGAATTGTTGAGGAAACAAGCAAAATATTTAAAAAGGAAAAGGAGATGAAAAAAGGTATCGCTTTTCCCACCACTATTTGTGTAAACAACGTAATTTGTCACTATTCCCCGATAAGCGGTGAGGAAAATTTTATGGAGGAACTAAGCGATGGTGATCTTGTAAAAATGTAAGAGATTTATTCTTTAACTGTTAAATTTTAAGCGATTTGGGTGCTCATATTGATGGCTTTGCATCTGTCATTGGGCATACTTTTGTTATTGGAGCCACTGTAGATAACAAGGTAACTGGCAGAAAAGCTGATGTAATCGTTGCTGCAAATGTTGCGGCAGAGGTTGCTAGACGCTTGATTAAGCCAGGAAATGAGAACTATACAGTTACGGATATGGTTTCTAAGGCAGTGGCGGACTTTAACTGCAAACCGGTTCAGGGTGTCCAATCTCATATCTTAAGGAAGCTTATCTTTGACGGCGAAAAAGCTATGGTATTGAACCCTGATGATGATCACAAGAAGGCGATTGAAAAATGCTCCTTTGAGATGTATGAGGCTTGGATTTTCGATATTGTTGTTTCTTCTGGTACTGGAAAGGCTAAGGAACATCAAGCCAGACCCACCGTATTTAAAAAGAAAGAAACTCTTTACCATCTCAAGATGAAAGCATCTAGAAGTAAAAGTTCCTTTTGCTTGCCTTCATAACCCTTGTAGAGTTTTACAGCGAAGTTTCCTCCAAGTTCCAAGAGTATCCCTTCAATATCAGGTCGGTTGAAGATATTAAGTCAGCACGTTATGCCGTAACTGAGTGCGCAACTCATAAAGTTATCACTCCAATGCCTGTATTGGTGGAAAAAGATAACGAGTTTGTTGCTCAATTCAAGTTTACTGCTGTTTTAATGCCGAACGGTTTAATGAAGATTACTGGTCTGCCTTTTGATGCCTCTCTATATAAGAGTGAATACAAGACCAAGGATGCTGAAGTAAAGGAAATCATGACGCAACCAGTGAAATCTACTGGTGGAAAGAAGAAGAAGAGTGGAAGCGGTGAAGCTAAACCCGGTCTTGCTGCCACCGCATCAAAGGCTTAAATTAAGCGCTCAAAATGAAAGACGTCCTTATGTAAATGTATGTCGATATTTTCAAATAAATAATCATTTGTAATGGTCTGTACATTTCCCCTGTTTTGTCTTCCAACTTGAGTTTGTAAAATTTCTTGTTTAATTGTCATCATTTGGTTTCTAAGCACGTGTGTTTATTTAATGGAATCAGTGTTGCTTGTTTTCAATCGTTGCTACTCCACTTTAACTTAATTTTTTATGAATCATTTAATAACGGTGGATCCTTTGTGAGGTTTGTTGAAATATTTTCGCGTACTCTTCAAATCTCTAGACTTTTTGGTTGTAGCTCAATTTATTTTGAAATCTGCTTATAGCCTAGTGGCCACGTTGAGGTTATTTTGTTGCCTGTCTGTTCGAGGTTTTGATTCTTATTCATTCCTATTAATTCTGATTAAAACTGTTACGGTCGATGCCAAGAATATGAGGCGAGACTCCTTATCAGTGGAAAATTGTCTTCAAGGTGTGGTTTGTGTGAAACTGCTTTCCAATACGTTCTGATAATTGAACTTAAATAAAATTAGGGAAGTACTAAAACTTCTAATACACCATTACCCCTTCCGTTAGCACTGGGCATGTGGTTTACGCTTATGTAGTTCTCTTAATCTGTTCCTGACTAATTGAAGTTGAGAGCTTTGGTGCTGATGCTGGTGATTGGTCCTTTTAGTTCCAGCTGTTGGCTTTCATATCAAATTTTTCGCCCTTACAGCATCATTCTTTGTAAATAAACTGTGAAGTGACAGGGCTTCCCATTTTCCATTATGAATTACCAATAGTCTTCCATCCTTCTAACTACAGAATTAAGGCGATCTTAGATGGCAAGTTCTTATTATCACAAGGTAAGGCACATTTATTCAACCATTCGGGGTGAGTAGCCACTACCGCATTAAATGGAATGATACTATTTATCATTTTGATGAAATAAGCGAGGGCTAAAAACGAGACGTTAATTTGTTACCCATAAAGCATTTGCCAGGAATATGTGGGGGAAGTAGTGAACGGCAGTGCGCGTATTCAAACTAGGGTAGCCGTTTTGTCTCCAAACCTGAAAAATGGGGTACATTCGATTTGGAGGTTGTTTCCATTCCTTGCATGGAATATTCTGATTGTCAGGAGGACCTATTCTATGCCCCTACTTAAGGAATTCAGAAATATCCATCGCATATATATATATATATATATATATATATATACAGAATTCTAGATGTGATGGTGAGGTACTGCTTTCTGTTGTTGCTGCAAGGGAAATATGAGGTAATTTATTGTCTCGCAATCTTAATTCAATATTTAATGTTTTTTGAAGGGAGATTTTGTGAATAAATTGGTTGGTAATTTAACGCCTAAGTAAGATTGGCAAGTAGGGGTCCCCAATACTAAAATCCTTAAG